CGTTTGCCCCTGGACCTGTGTGGAGGCGGTGTGAGAGCTGGAATAAAGAATTGCTGTTTGAACCTACAAAGCTGTGAGTGCCTCGTGATTCTGGTGCCAAGCCGAGACATTGGCCTTGGGCATGGCACCATTTACAATCATCTCCTACCTCTGCCTCTCATCAGTACTCTTCATAATTTATCCTCCACGTCATGGCCAGCTTGATCCAGCTCATCATGCAGTTTCCTTGCTTAAAACATCTGAATGTCTCTGTACTGTCTACAAGTAAAGCTGGCATTTCTGAGCATGGTATAAGAAGTTAGCCACAAGGTGGCCACAGCCTCTCTTAGGATTCGCCCCCAGCACTCTATTAAACACACACGGCAGCCATGCAGGAAGCCATGGGGTTTCTGAGAGGTCCCATTTTGGTTTCTGCCTTCACACAAGCTTTCCCTGTGCTCCCAAATCTTTTCTTCTCCACCTCCCACTCTGTTCCTGCTCATCTCCCTGGCTTGCCAACTTTGGATCCAAAGAAGAAAGACTCTTCAAGCATCCTTCCCTTCCCCAGCCAGGCAGCACTGACCAGACCCACTCCACTGGAAGTTTCTATACATGAATTAGCATCTACTTGGCCAGCAGACTGGGTCTCTTGCAGTGCTAGAATCATTGCTCATCCCCAGAGTACATAGTAGGTTCTCAAAAATCCAGCTGAATGAACAGCAGCTCTTCAACTTTCCCAGCCAACTTCTCGCCCTATCCTTCCCTGGCAGTTCTAGATCTCCTCCCACAGCAGCTCTATTCTTTATCTCCTACAATTGTTCTTCCGTTTATCATCTCTAATTTATACCCTTCTTTCCTGTTCCTCTGTCAGAAGAGAAAGTGGAAGCATTTGGGGAGTGACAAAGCTCTCAACTTTGGCACTGATAACCTTTGGAGCGGGAGGGTTCTTTGTGGTGGGGACTCCCTGTGCACTGCAGGGTGTGCAGAAGGCACTGGCCTCTACCCACTCGAGGTCAGTAGCCCCTCTCCCAGTTGTGACAGCTAAACTGTGCCTGCACATCACCAACATCCTCTGAGAGGGAAATGACTGAGGAACTCTAACCTAGACTGACTGTTCTGTAAGTCAGAAAATAACATGAGAACACTGATCAAAGGCCCCCTGCACTGCTTATCCTCCCGGTGAAAAATGGTTAAGGAGAGAAAATTCAGACTCCGTTGTGGGGTTATGTAGGGAGTACATGACCAACAAAAGCGACGATTCAAGGGAGGACAGCCCTGCGAGGGCCTGAGATAAATTCACCATAAAAGGACCAGAGTTCCAGTCTTCAGAATTAGTTTGGAGTAACATTTTACTGAGCCTGATTTATTCTGCACCACTGAAATGCTCAGCAAGAGGGATACAGAACACTGTGATGCAATGCTATTAAGCCCTCTTCATATCTTTTTTGGAAAAGAGGTACATGGAAATAAATACACTGACAGAAATACTGAACTAGAATGGAATTGGGGACATGGGCCACATAAATAACACAAGAAGCTGGAAAGGCCAGGATAGGAAGGAGAGAGGGCCTGGTACCTGGCACAGAACCTACCTGTGGTTGATACGACGTTCTCAGGACTTTCACTGCAGAGTTTTGACAACAGACTAGTCTTGCCGGAACCAGTGAGGCCTATGCAAACCAGGTCATATTCTGGTCGTGCAGGTGGTGGTCCCTTGCAGCAAAGTGCTCTAAAACACTGCGGAGAAAGAACAGGAAGTATGGTTCTTTAAACAAGAACATGGAAACAAGACTTAGTAACATTTAAAGATGTCTGTGCAGGTGTTAACAAATAGATAAGCATCCTATTAATTATAAAGAGGAAATAGTTACTTCAGAGCAAAGCAACCCAGATGGCACCACCTCAACTGGATGGTCAAGGTTACCACCCCACCATGAGAGGTGTCTAGCACACAGCATCCTTTCCTGTGATGGCAGGTGCTCTGCAGTGGGCATGATGTCATCATGCAGCATTCGAACCAAAATGCAGAACCTGCACCCAACCCTGAGCAAACCAGATAAAGCCAATCTGAGGCATGTTCTACCAGACAACTGTCCCGTTTCCTAAAGTATCAATGTCTTAAAAGTCAAAGACAGACTAAGGAACCATTCTAGGTTAAAGAAGACTATAAAAACAATATGAAATGCATCTGAGATTAGATCTTGAATCAGGAGGGAAAAAAGTGCCATAAATGACATTATTGGGACAATAATGAAGACTGAATATAGACTACATATTAGATAACAGTGTTGCATAAGGTTAAATTTCCTGAATTAAATAACTGTACTGTGGTTATGTAAGGAAAATCATTGTTCTGAAGAAACACACACGTAAGTACTTAGAGGTAAAGGGTCTTGATGTCTGCAATTAACAGGCTCAGAGAAATTCCAAATCTCTCCATCTCCATCAGGGGAGGAGTGTAATAAAGCAAACATGGTAAAATGTTAATGATTCGTGAAGTTGATTGAAGAGTTCATAGCAAAATTCTTTGTTCTATTTTCATAACTCTTTGATGTCAATTCAAAATAAAAAGAATTTTAAAGAATTTAAATGAGTCTTCTCATATCACTGTCTTCTTGGCCTTTGCTAAATTTCAATTGTTTCAGGTAAACTGACCTCAGGGTGCTATGACCTGTAGGGTAGCGTGTGCACCACACAAACATGTTTGCTCTCCTAGCGTTAAAACAAAGGGATTGAGGAGACAGAATATGATTCACACAGTTTTTGATCTTTGGCTTATGCCTCATCCATTTACTGGGGGCTTACTATATGCCAGTTTTGTAGAAACAGAAGTATTAGGCTCTGAATGATCCATGAGAGAGGGAGAGCAGGAGGAAAGGAGAGAGAAAGGCTGACCCCCTCTCTTATAGGTCATCATGAGAGAAGAGACCAATAAAAAGCTTGTGTTGATCTTCTCAGATAAAAACTGAGTCCTAATTGGCTGTCACTCTTTCATAAATCAAGCTTGATTATTTCTCTTCCCCCTTTCTCATATATGACCCACAAGTCCAGTCCATGAAACCTCTGAAATCTCTCTAGGATCTGTCCACTTCTCTCCAGTCCAGGCCATAGTTACCTGGACAACATCAACATTTCCCCCACCACTTCCAGTGTATTTGCTCTTGTCCTCTCTGTTCTCTGGACAGCAACCTCTGGGATTGTTTATAAAAAGAAAATTATTACGTCTGCTTAACGCGCTTTGGTAACTTCCTCTTGCTTCGGGGCCCAAACCCCTATCATGGTCCATGAGGTGTCCACCACCTGCTCCAGCCCACTCACTAGCCCCTTGCCCACCTCCCCCAAGCCATGCGGGGGCCCTGTCTCATTCCAGGCACTGGCCTATGCTATTTCCTCTTCCCCTGACTCTGGGCTTAGCCAACTCCTCATCAGTGTTTGGGTCTCCACTTAACCATTCCATCCTCAGGGCAGTATGCTCTGATCCCAAGACTTCATCAGCAATTGACTTCAAGCTCTCACAGCTCTTTTGTGAATTCATCTTGCAGATGAACACAGTTTCTTTTATTATTATTATTATTATAGTTTCCATTTTATTTTTTTCCAGAAGATAGCGTTTCTTCACTCATTAAGGATGCAGTTCCTTACATGGGCTTTGGTGGAGGTCGTGGGGCAGCACCGACAGGTCTAAAACGAGGTGGGGATGTCCGGTCCTTCCGGCCTTCAGAAGATCGATTCCCGACTACCTTGCTGTGAATGGCACAACTCACAGAGTCATGCAGCTTCACATACAGCTTGGGAAGCACATACGCGTCCAAAACACTTGCTTTGGAAATGTCCCTGACGGCTGCGGCCTCCACGATGTTTCCAATGATGAACTTCTTAATGGCCTTGTCCTTGGGCACACACCTGGCATAGTTGGAGCAACGAATAGGCTGCACATGCCCGCGGCCCTTTTTCACACGACCATTATTCCTTCTTTTTTTGGTCATCTTGGAAGCCAGGACCCGGGAGAGCACGTGACATCCGGCCGGATCTCTTATATAGCGCAAGATCCCTACGCTCACAGGGGAAAACCCGTAGCATCAAGAACGGAAAACCACTTCCAAAAATTTCTTGATTACTTAGCGGTTCCAAAGAAACCCAGAGCAGACAGGGGTTCCTAGGGTTTATTTATGCATGGAACGAGTTACCTTTGGGACTACTTAGCCTGCTGGCGGAAGAAAATTAGTGTTATAGGTTTCGCGAGAAACATCGCGATACCCTGAACCCAGTTTATTATTACACTATGGGAACCACATCTGTCCATCTCCATCCCAGTAACCCTAGTGGCCTTTATTGAGGTGAGTGTAGATCTCACCTCAATAAAGAAGGGTTAAAGAAAAAAAAATGACAGTTAAAGTTTCACCTAAGAAAAGCAAAAAGGAAGCATGAAACCCAATAGGATGTCTGATCCACAGCCACTTGGGTCACCCATGCTTGAGCAAAACGGTGTAAAACCAAAGAGAAACCTGTGACTTTCTCCTTTCACTTCAATGCCAGAAGTTAGCCTCATTTCCAAAAAAAAGGTTTTGATGTACAGGATCTATTCTCGAAAGAGGAGAGCTGCTTTTTGACCTAAATCCATTTTCCCTCAGTTTTTAAGAAGTTCTGCTGACTTCTGGTAAACAATATTTAATAATCCATATTCTACATGGATTTATTAAACTCTAATCCCATTTCCTCTCAGTCTTTTCAGGCCTGTGGAGTCTTAATTATTTCAGTCTGCCTTCATATAGCACCTCCTCCCACTCCTTGTGTCAGTTGCTCTTCTCTGGCCATGTTTTAGTTCCATTAAGTGTTCCCCTACCAGATTTGTGACTGCAGCTATAAAAAGCCTTCTCGATGCCAACACAACACGTCCCATCCTGGATTTGCAAGAAAGCTAGCTGATATTGTTTAACTTTTGCAAACTTTTCCTCAAGTCTCCCAGACTCTTGATGAGAGTCCTATGTATGTATGTGTATGTACCTCCTTGAAGTCGGCACCTGACTCACAGCTGTTGACACTAAGCAGAGGTCATCTGTGCTCTGCTATGATGGGACACACTGCTCACATCTGATTCTACAGCTGGGCTGCTTCAGTCTCTGCTGAAGGAAGCAGGGAGAGATCCTATTCCAGCTCTAGAGATGCCCGCTGCTGCTTAGCTCCAGTGCCAGAGTTCCTATGGACTGTCTCTTAGAGGGGGATGGACCCAACTACTGTGATCCAAATTACTATAAATCCTAAATACAAAATGAAATTATATGTAGCTGATTGCTTTTATTGCCCTGTTCAAATTATTTACAAATCATTTATACACCAATATTATTCAACATATTTTAGCCCAAAGTTCTACAATTCCATCTTCATATTGTTCTTGATATCTGGAGTATAAAAACTTCTGTACCCAAATCCATTAATCATCACCTGTTAACTTATTCCAGGACACCGGAGACACTTCTGACAGAACACACAATTTAGCAATGACATTCCACTTCTCTACTTTTTCTATATACTTCCCAGGACTGTCACCTGTACCCCCCTGGTTCTAGTTGCACAGAATGCAAAGACACCAAACATGGCAACTCCCCTGGCACACGTTCACCGCTTTCCTGAATTCCAGTCTCTGTAGTTCCAACTGTTTTTGAAGACCCCAAACTAAATCTGAGCAAACTAAAAGTCTACCCCCAAAACTCAGGCTATGGAAATAAGGCATTTGGGAAAATAAATGCAACACTGACATTATTACGAGGCAGAATCTTTGAGATAAACTACAGAATCCTGAAAGTAAAAATGTGTTTGAAGTAAATAAATACATCCCATGGCAAATGGGAAAAGTGTCAGACTTTGAGCCAACAAAATAAAACTTTTAAGAGTATATCATTTCAAATGGTGGGAGGGAGGAGGGTGTTCGTGGTGTTTGAGTCAGTTCCGAAAAGCTGTACAGAGTTTTCTTTTTTTTCCCCCCCTGGTTTTGTTTAAAAACTTACTGAGGCTTTGGATCTTATAGTCAATTTACTTAAAATTACTCATTTTGGCCTCTAGACTATACTGTACCAAAGTTCATTGTGTTTGTCTCCTATAGCAGCTCCTGCATTGTTGAGAGTCAGCCCTTTTCACCGCTGTTCAATGAGAAACACAATGCCGTCGGGCAGTCCTGACAGCAAGCGGCAAACTCGGGCTTCATTCCCAGGCCAGACACTAAGGCATTGTGTAGCTCTGCCCAAGCCTCATAAACCTATCCATGCTTCAGTTTCCCCATGATTAACCAGTAACGTTTAACACTATCTGTCTCTTCCTTTCTTCAGGAGGATGTTATGAGGCATGGGTTCAATGCATTATTCTACTAAGAAAGGCGCCAGACGGGTAAATAACTGTTCATCACGATGCTCATTTTCCTAAGATATCTTTGCTGCTAGTTAGCTTCCTGGGCAAGGGCCTGGCAGCCTGACATACACCCCAGACTGGAGTACTTCCCCTTCTTTTAGCCCACAGCTGCTTTTACAAGTTCCATCCCATCCCAGTTCAACCCAAGACGCGCACACACACAACACTGCCCTCACTTGCAGCAGGAAATAGAAAACAAAGCCAGTCTGAATTATAATTATGTCCTCTGGGGGGCAACCAAGGTCATGGTCTCCCTCTGACTACTTGAGTTCACCAGGTTTCCCCCCCGCCCTTCAGGGTCAGTTATGAGTCACTCCTTTTTGAAAGAACCTATGAACCTATCTACCACATCATGCCAAGACACAGAACATTTCCCCCTGGCATGTGTGCACAAACTTCTACCTCTGTTCCTTATGAAATGGTAGGTCCTGAGAGAGGCCGACTGGCTACAGCATAGCTTTTGGGAAAATCATATAATCATATGCTCTTTAGTTGAAAAATGGAGCACTCAAAATGCAGAATCATAAACGTTGGGAATATCTGCTTGAAGAAGAAACAGGGCCACATGGGTTAGGAATAAAATATAAGCAAAAGATTACATCGCAAGGTAAAATGAAGCCTTGCACTTCAGGCTGGTGGTTCTGCCCCAAGACAGCAAGACCATCTTAAAACATCCCAGCACCGTTTGGGAATAGTGTCAGGGTTTAGCATAGCTGGCAGAGCACTGTACATGGTAGGTAGTCAGTGACTACTCGGTTACTAAGTCAATGATGTAAAGCATTGAGTAAGCACTTAACTGTGTACCTCGTTCCCCTCCCCTCACATTTCCATCTAACCCATCCTAGCTACTTCCAAGCCATTCACTAGTCCCTCCAACAGTCTGGGAACTCACCCTTCTTACCACCAGGTCCTGTGCACTTGCAATGAAAGGCCCCCTGCCCTTCTCTCTTCTTTCAGCTGAGATGGCACCACCACCAAAAGTCCTCCTTGAATCCCTCAGAGAACTAATCCTTCCTTGTCCTCCTTGGCCCTATTCACATACCTGCAGCACTGCAACTGACACTATAGCACATGTTTGTTTATTTGTTTATTTGTTTTTTCTGATTTATCACCTGATAGAAATAGATACACAGACCCAAAGACATAGTCATTCTTGGTCATATTACTGGTTCAAAAAGCTTAATTTTACAGGCTTCTGAGGGTAGCCAAGCACCCAAACAAAGCAACAGAGTTGTCCTGCAACTACATATTTCTGGATGAGAGATTTGCTCAAAAACCTCCCACTCTGGCACCAGCCCCTGCACTGCCAGTATTTCCAACCATCCTGAGTTGCTAAATTCCCAGCCTTTTGGGACATGGCATTTGTTTCAATTGATGCTCTGTCTTTCACCATGAATACAAGATTTTATTCTGAGCATGAATTCAATTTGATTGAAGCTCTGTATAGTTGCTGGAAATTTTTCTTCAGTCAGCTTTGGGAGTTCCTCACAGACACACAGTCACTGCCCAAGCCCCACAATGTTTCCTCCTTATTTAAATATGGGTCTCACCAGACACAAAACCCAGGGCTCCTATCACAGACAGCCAGGTCTTTTTCTATGCAAGAGTGGGACCTGGCACAACAATGAGCAAACCCTTGTTAGATTAATGAAACATCCATAAGTTGGCACCTAAAGGCAAAAGAATATTCAGCCATAACTTTGACTAGATACAATTCTCATGCAGTTTGGCTTCAAAATCAGAAAGAAGCACCTGCACATTTAACCCTCACCAGTTTTCACAATGCAAAAGAAGTTTTTGAAAGTAAGTCAATTTCTGGAAGTGTTTTCTAATACTAAGAATGTTCAATGAATAAAACATGAAGAAGTTCTTAAATATCTGAAGTGACCTGATTTGGAACACAATGTTTTCCAAGTCTATAATAGTCAAATATGGGTCTGTCTTTTGAAAATCTAACCCCAATACAAAATACAACAGGAGGCCAAATGTGTTAGAGGATTAGTCAGAGCTGCTTGAGCTCTGTAAGAGACATGACAACTGGTGGGTGTCCTAGTAAGTCAAAAACAAAAACAAAGACAGCTAGTACTATTGAGTGCCATATGTAGGTAATTTATGTATAGTAATTCATTTATTCCCTAGAACAATTCAGTAAGAAAAGTACTCTATGACTCCCATTTTAAGATAAGGAAACTGAGGCTTAAAGTCAAGCAACTTGTCCAAAACGAACTGGATTCAAACCCTGGAGGTCTGGCTCTAGAGCTATTTGCTGAGCCACTGGAATGATAAGCTTCTACCATCTGAGGGTGTGTCATGCGGAAGAGACCTCAGAGCCATTCTATGCAGAGGGCAACACAATTCTTAAAAATGCCCTAGGGAGCTATTAAATGGCAAAGTCGGGGGTTGAGTCAGGAGTGTCCAGCACCAGGACTCCCACTCATGTCCTCTTGGCTCTGGGTCTGCCATGTCCATAGGCAGAGGTCAGAGCATCAGAAATGGGGCATTTCTGCTGTTTTGAAGATGTGGAAGAAGCCTTTAAGTTTACCTATGTAGCTGAAGAGAAAGATGCCTGGACAGGAAGGAGGTGTTTCTAGGCTCCTTCACTGGCCCTGTTAG